ATGAGAGATCTAGGGAGATTGAGAGATCAAGGGAGATTGAGGGATTAAGGGAGATTGAGAGATCTAGGGAGATTGGGAGATCTAGGGAGATTGAGAGATCTAGGGAGATTGAGAGATCTAGGGAGATTGAGGGAGATTGAGAGATCTATGGAGATTGAGAGATCTAGGGAGAGTGAGAGATCTAGGGAGATTGAGAGATCTAGGGAGATTGAGAGATCTAGGGAGATTGAGAGATCAAGGGAGATTGAGAGATCAAGGGAGATTGAGGGATTAAGGGAGATTGAGGGATTAAGGGAGATTGAGGGATTAAGGGAGATTGAGGGATTAAGGGAGATTGAGGAAATAAGGGAGATTGAGGGATTAAGGGAGATTGAGGGAGATTGAGGGAGATTGAGAGATTTGGGGGAGATTAAGAGATTTAGGGTAGATTGAGAGATCTAGGCAGAACGAGAGATCTAGGGAGATTGAGAGAACTAGGGAGATTGAGAGATCTAGGGAGATAGAGAGATCTAGGGAGACTGAGAGATCTAGGGAGATTGCGAGATCTGGGGAGATTGAGAGATCTAGGGAGATTGAGAGATCTAGGGAGACTGAGAGATTAGGGGAAATTGAGAGATCTAGGGAGATTGAGAGATCTAGGGAGATTGAGAGATCAAGGGAGATTGAGGGATTAAGAGAGATTGAGGGGTTAAGGGAGATTGAGGGATTATGGGAGATTGAGGAATTGAGGGAGATTGAGGGATTAAGGGAGATTGAGGAATTAAGGGACATTGAGGGATTAAGGGACATTGAGGGATTAAGGGAGATTGAGGGAGATTGAGGGAGATTGAGGAAGATTGAGAGATTTGGGGATATTGAGAGACTTAGGGAGATTGAGAGATCTAGGGAGATTGAGGAATTAAGGGACATTGAGGGATTAAGGGACATTGAGGGATTAAGGGAGATTGAGGGAGATTGAGAGATTTGGGGAGATTGAGTGATTTAGGGCAGAGGTCGGCAACCTTTCTTGGTCCGCGGACCCCCGGAGCACCGATTCTCTCCGCGCGGACCCCCTGAGTTTATCTATCATAATGTGTCCATATCAGGCTCATTGTTCTGGAGATCTTCTGAGGACCTCTTCGGTGACCTCTCCTTGACCCGTTGGAGGTCCTCCGGAGACCTTTTTGACAAGGTTCGCGCCGAACTCGCGGTGTATCATTTGGGAGCTCCGCGGACATTGCGCTCGAGCTCTGGGGATGCTTGGCTCGAATTTCGATGACTCTGCCTTTCGATCGCAGCCCGAGGATCTGCCTCCTGACAAAGTTGCGGAGTCTATCAGGGACCGCTCGCAGCGTTCAAAGCTACACCTTCTCTTTGACATTTGCTCTGTACTAAATCAACTATCGGTCTCTTGCTCAAGCTCGAATGTCAGATTTTGAGAGTGTAATGTGCCAAGAGTCTGAATGGAATGTCCAGTCTTGGACGAGTTTCAGTCCTCGATGGGATCAGCCCGTGCTTCATCCTCGTGAGTGGAAAGTGCCGCGGAAACATGTCCGATTTTTCCGACTTCAGTGATCAGGATGAGATTAACGCTGAATTTGACCCCTCGGATTACGGAGAAATCGAAGAGCTACAGTATTCCTCCGATTCGATCGCAGACGACGAGGAGAATCAGGAATCAGCTTGTTCAGGCAGAAAAAGGAAGCAGTCCATCAAGAAGCGAGCGAAGAGAGCTAAAGCTTCCAAAACCAGATGGTACCATCCGGATTACCTGGAATTGGGATTCGTTGTTGAACCTGGTAGCGAAGTTTGCCCGCGACCTCTTTGTCTTGTGTGCTCGCAGAGTTTGTCGAACGACGCCATGAAGCCATCGAAACTTTCACGACACTTCCAAGCGAAGCACTCAGACTTGTCATCAAAGTCCGTTGAATATTTCCAGCGACTTCGCGAAAATGTGCTGCAAGGTTTTCGAGATGAGGACAGTGCAATCACGAGGAAACTCCTATACGCGTCTTATGAAATAGCTCTCTCGATCGCACAAAATAAGAAACCGTTCAACATCGGCGAAACTCTCATCAAACCATGCTTGGTGAACGCTTGCAAGATCCTCTTCGGTGAAGTTGAAGCAGCACGAGTGAAGAGAATCCCACTGTCCGCTCGAACCATCCACCGCAGGATCCTTACTATGTCTGAGGATGTTGAGCGTCAGGTTCTACGATTGATTGAGAAAAGCTCTTTCTTCTCGATTCAGCTCGACGAGTCAACTGACGTCTCCAATCGGGCCATTCTCCTATGTTTTGTGAGATTTGTTGAGGGCCAGTCTGTCCGCGAAGACTTCCTCTGTGCATTGGAACTGCCGGGAAGGACAACAAGCTCGGCCTGTTTCGAGGCCCTCGGAAGTTACTTCTCGGAGCACGGAATTGACTGGAAGAAGTGCGTTGGTATCTGTACGGACGGAGCCGCAAACATGGTAGGACGAAAAACAGGATTGGTTGCGAGGGTGAAGCAGGTCGCTCATCCCGAGTTGATTTCGAGCCACTGCCTCATCCATCGTGAGCAGCTAGTAGCCAAACCGATGAGCAGGGAGCTCCACGAAGTGATGACCACCGTTGTCAGCATCATCAACCATGTTCGCCATAAAGCAATGTGCTCTCGTCTGTTCAAATCGCTCTGTGAAGAAATGGGCTCGGAATACGAGTCCCTTCTCCTCCACGCTGATGTCAGGTGGCTGTCGAGAGGACGAATGCTCTCACGGTTCTTCGCTTTGCGCGAGGAAATAGGCGTCTTCCTGGGTCAGCAGAAACACCCCGATGCAGACAAATTGTATGATGAGGATTGGATTGTCAGAGTTGCGTATTTAGTTGACATCTTCTCGCAACTAAACAAACTTAATTTGTCTCTCCAAGGAGCCTCTCAGGACATTTTCACAAGTAGAGGCAAGATGGACGCATTTCAGAGAAAAATTGCACTATGGCGCTCCCGGCTCGCCGAGGAGAGCTTCGACATGTTCCCGACATGCGGCGATTATGTCGATGAGAAGCATATGGATCCTGGAATGATTCTTCTGTGCATTCAAACGCACCTTCAGTCTCTCCAAAATACATTCGCACGGTACTTTCCGCCGGGAGAAGATCCTCGAATCGGCCGTCTATGGATTGTGGATCCCTTCAGAGTAAGCCTCGACGAATGCGATCTCAGCATGCAGGAAAAAGAAAGTCTCATCGAATTATCCTCCGATTGTGCGCTCAAGTTGAAGTTCGACGCCGGTATCTCGAGAGCCGAATTCTGGCTGTCGATCAAGGAGGAATATTCTATGCTCAGTCAGAATGCCATGAAAATCCTTATCCTCTTCTCAACAACATATTTGTGCGAAAAGACTTTCTCGGCGATGACGGCGATCAAGACACGATATAGATCAAGATTAGACGTGCGGACAGCTCTCCGTCTCGGAGTCTCAACTCTGGAGCCGAACATCGAAGAACTCACAATCAGTCAATCAGAGCAAGAGCAGTCGTCACATTGAACACTAGACTGTATCTTTATGAATGAATTATGTATTGCACATATCTCTAAGTCTCGTCGCTCGTCTCCAAATATTCTCCGAGCACGCCGCGATACAACTGACTGAGCGAGGCCTGTGACCTGTCTGCGGATTGTACGCTGATAAGTGGTCCAGATCTGGGTGGATGGCGCCAACGTTCATCTCCCACAGAGATTGTTCTGGTGACGCCATAATCAGAGAACTTCACCTTGGCCGGCCCGCCACTGAGCGGTACGCGAAGTTTCGTACGACAGAGGTACATATACGGGAGCCTCATGCGGGCCGACGGAAGTAAGTCCGCGAGCCCCATGGGGGTCTATTGGAGGGGGTCCGCGAGATCAATGGGGGTCTATGGGAGGGGGTCCGCGGGGGTCCGCGGACCCCCAGCTGATTTCGCGGACCCCTGGGGGTCCGCGGACCCCCATTTGCCGACTCCTGATTTAGGGAGATTGAGAGATCTAGGGAGATTGAGGGATTAAGGGAGATTGAGGGATTAAGGGAGATTGAGGGATTAAGGGAGATTGAGGGATTACGGGAGATTGAGGAAATAAGGGAGATTGAGGGATTAAGGGAGATTGAGGAAATAAGGGAGATTGAGGGATTAAGGGAGATTGAGGGAGATTGAGAGATTTGGGAGATTGAGAGATTCAGGGAGATTGAGAGACCTAGGGAGATTGAGAGATCTAGGGAGATTGAGAGATCTGGGAGATTGAGAGATCTAGGGAGATTGGGAGATCTAGGGAGATTGAGAGATCTAGGGAGATTGAGAGATCTAGGGAGATTGAGAGATTTAGGGAGATTGAGAGATCTAGGGAGATTGAGAGGTCTAGGGAGATTGAGGGAGCTTGAGAGATCTAGGGAGGTTGAGAGATTGAGGGAGATTGAGAGATCTAGGGAGATTGAGAGATCTAGGGAGATTGAGAGATCTAGAGAGATTGAGAGATCTAGGGAGATTGAGAGATCTAGGGAGATTCAGGGAGATTGAGAGATTTAGGGAGATTGAGAGATCTAGGGAGATTGAGAGATTAAGGGAGATTGAGAGATTGAGGGAGATTGAGCGATTGAGGGATTAAGGGAGATTGAGGAATTAAGGGAGATTGAGGGATTAAGGGAGATTGAGGGATTGAGGGAGATTCAGGGATTGAGGGAGATTGAGGGATTAAGGGAGATTGAGGAATTAAGGGAGATTGAGAGATTAAGGGAGATTGAGGGAGATTGAGGGAGATTGAGG